CCGACCACCCCAGAAGCCCCGCCCCCAAACGTCAGGCTCGATTCGGCCCCCGCGACACACTTGAACCCTGCGCGCGCAATGTGGGGCTGAGGCGGCCCCACCTTCTCCCCGAGCGATGCCATGCCAGCAGCCTCTGCGCAGAGCAAGCGGCCCAGCGCCCCTGGAAGCCACGATCATCGGCGCCAGGGCCGGGGGCGGGACGCCCATCCACTCCGCCGCGGCCAGGCCCCTCAAGGGCCGAGGGCGCATGCAGAAATTTCCAGGAGGAGGTTCAGCGCCCGAGCAACGTCTTCTTGTTTGAGCGCGACCTCGACCTGCATCAGAATAAAATATGCCTTGCCCGCTGCCTCTGTTATTCCTCCTTTTGCCTTGCTGGCTCGCGCGTCTGCGTCTGCTTCTCCTTCCGCCGCCGCCCGCCCCCTGCCCTGCCGGGCGAGGGCAGCGAGGTCTACGACCATGCCGCCCCCACTCCCTGATGCCACCACTCTCGAAGCGCCCGACTGACAGGGGCGGAGTGGGCCGATCGCGGCGCGCGCGGATGCGGAGTTGAAGTAGGTCTTGGGCCCAATGACAACACACGGGGCACGCGAGCTCGTTTGGGGCGATCACGTCCTGTACCATGAAAGAGCTCCGCCCACGACTGTATGCGTTACGTTTGACAGATGCCGTCGCGCGTCGTGCTGCGTGTATTTCGCGCTCGAGACTTGGAGGCAACGGGGGCGTTGATTTGTCACCGCGAGCAAGCTTGCTTCGTTTCGCATTCTGCGAGCTCGGCCAGCGTGGAGGAGGAGCGCCTTCACAGCGCTGGCCTCTCAATAGCACTCGGCGCCGCCCGCGGGGAGCACCACGTTGCGCGCGCATGGGGCCCGACTGGGTCATCTCGCCCTCGACCTCGGGGACCTCTGGAGCCTCGGGGTGGGACTCGGGCGGGGCCAACGACTTCGAAGAGGCATTGGCCCGCAGGATCGAGATGCCCAAGAAAGCCCCGTCGCGATAATCCTGGACGCACAGTAGTTTGAGGAAGGGGTAGTTCTGGGGAGCTATATCCGAAAAGCCCTCGCAGCGGGCGCAGCCGCGTCGGAGGTCCTCGAGGAGCTGACGAGCCCAGGGGACGGGATTTGGCGAGAGCCCCCAAGAGTCCGCGATCGCATCGCAGTCGCCCATCGAGCTCAAGATACAAACCCCGGCTTGGCGACGAGGATCGCGGCGACGGGCCCAGCTCCGGCGCCGGCCCAGACGGCGGACCCAAATTTCGTCGAGCGTCGGCAAAATCATCCAATACTCCCATACTCTAACCGCAGGCCAACGACGCATCTCCCCATCCTCGCCTCTCGCGGCGCCCAGAAGCCCCAGCCCCCTACGCATCGGGAACCCTCGCCCCCAAAGGCAGCCTGCGCAAAAGAAATGATCGCCATTATCCTGACTGCCCTCGCTGCTGGTTCCAAGGAAACACGACATCAATCCGAGGCCGCCTGCCTGCCACCACTCTTTCTGACTCTTCCGTCGCAAGACAGCCTGCGGCGGTCAGCCAGCCCCCAAGACACGAACGCGTCGGCCTCGAACGCCCGACGTCTCCAGAACCCCGCTGCGCCATACCTGAAGTCGCGCGGGAGCGGCGATCGCGAAATCGAGCTAGACCCATATCGTTTTTTAAATGTATAATATATATATATATATATATATAAACCAAAAAGTGCGAATCTACCTAGGAGTTGGAAACCCTAGGAAAGCAGCATTAGTAGTAACAGAAACGCTAAGCTAAAGCTAAACTAAAGCTAAGCTAAAGCTAAGCCACAGCTAAGCTAAAGCTAAGCTAAAGCTAAGCTAAATCTAAGCTAAAGCCAAGCTAAAGCTAAGCTAAAGCTAAGCTAAAGCAAAGCTAAAGCTGAGCAACAGCTAAGCTACAGCTAAGCTACAGCTAAGCTAAAGATAAGTTAACGCTAAGCTACAGCTAAGCTAAAGCCAAGCTAGAGTTAAGGTAAAGCTAAGCTACAGCTAAGCTCAAGCTAAGTTACAGCTAAGCTCAAGCTAAGCTAAAGCTAAGCTAAAGCTAAGCTTTACGCTAAGCGAAAAGCTAAGCGAAACGCGAAGCTAAAGCTAAGCTACAGCTATGCTAAAGCTAAACTAAAGCTAAGCTAAAGCTAAAGCTAAAGCTAAAGTTAAAGCTCCCAGGGGACTAGGGGGAACCGCTCAGGCAGAGCCTAGGTATGACAAACAAGAAAGATTTTTATATATATATATAAACAAGCGACAAAAAAAAAAAAAAAAAAAAAAAAAAAAAAAAACGAGCGGGGCCGGGGTGGCCCACACTCTCCCCCGTCGTCGGCCTCAACGACATCGCCCCCAAAAGGTGCGTCGATCTGAAGGGCTTCCCGGATGGTGCGCCCACGTTGGAAAACCACATCTTCCTCGCAATACAGGGAGGGGAGGAATTCTTTCCTATCCGTAATCGCTCAGGCGTTGGTAGCATCCCCATTGACAATGGCCCGCGAGAGGCCCTCTCGCTCGAGCCTCCAGGACGCGCAGGCCTGCGCCGCGAAGCGGCGTCCTCGCGCCTCCGACGGCGAGCGAAACCGCGGCAGTGGACGGGAAGAGCATCTCTGCGCTGGCGACCGCGGTGCCATAGCAACAAGCTCCAAGCCTTCCCGACCGGGCAGAATAGATGAATCCACATCTGGCCCTCTGGCCCAAGCTTTCCGTTCTTCTTGTCCAGGCCGACGCACGATGAAATATCGATGAGCAAAGCGAATATCCTGAGCGTCTGAATGAGGCGATGAGGTCCATCATCCGCCCGTGGAAAGCAATGGCCGTCGTCGGGCGCTGGCCGGCCCCCGCCCACGTCCACTTGAAGGCGCCCCAGACCGCTGAGCCCAGCAAGAGAAGCCATAGCTCCGAGGGCATGGACCACTGAGGGCGAGCGCGACGCTTCGGAGACGAGCGAAGAACCTGGATCACGCCGCTGAGGTCCGTCTCTGCTTGCTCGAAACCCACCGTCTGCATGGTATCGTATCTGGCCTGGCCGCTACTCAAGCTGGCGCCGCGCCCGTCATCGTAGTGGGCCCGGTCGAAACGGTCGGCCAATTCACGCTGAAGATCGCACGGCGCGCCACCCCCACCCACGCCGCCCTCGGCCGCTGGTCCATGCAGGAAGGATGAGATCTCGGCTGCTTCGCACTGGTCGCTCTCGATCACGAAATATCTCCTTTGCCTAGGACCGCGGCCGCGGCGAGAGAGGCGACGGATCAAACGCTGGACTGCGTTGTGGTCACGGGACGACCATGCCTCATTCAGCTCCAGCACCAAGGCACCCGCGGTCTGCTTGGAGATCTGGTTGAACAAATAACAGACGCGGTATGTCGCGCTTGCCGACTCGAGCTCAATATCAAGAAAGTTCCGCTCACAGCCATCGGGGCCATTCTTGGGGCAGCCCCGGCAATGGACCAATTGCTCATTGTTCTGGTCCCGAGGTAAGTCGCCGCCCGTGCAGGTACCTGTTGCCATTTCCGCTGAACGAGAAATTGGGAACGTACTGTTTCCAGTCCAGACTTTTGAGACTCGGCCTTCGTCGGCTCGCTGAAAACTCCTCTGGCTTCGTTGCATACAAGAGTCAAGAGTCGCCATCGAGTTCCAGAGCTCGTCCGTCGTCGGGCGCGTGCACATTCGCACCCATTCCTGTTCCTCGATGCTAAGGAGCTCCTCGTGCACTTGTTCAATCCACTAAGTGCAGCCTTCCCCCCGACGAGCGGACGCCGTTATCTTGTCAAAAGCCCAGCCTGGACTACTGCCGATCTGGGCCTGAAAACAACATTCGGACTCCACAAAGACAGGTCTGAGATCGCGATCCTCGAGTGTCTGGATGGGCTGTTTGTTCCTGCCGCCTCGAGAACTCTAGAAGACATTTGGCCTGTGCAAGTAACCGCTGCAGGATGTGAACGAAATCGACCCTGGAGCGGCATCCGCTGTTGCCGTACACGGTGGGGCCCGAGTCGAAGACCGCGCTGCAAGCCGCGAGGTCGCAGTCTCTGATGCCACAGACGCCCCGCCATACCCTCCGCGGATGGGTCGAAGGTGCCCACCGCTCTGTCCTCGACGTCCTCCTCCAAATAGTGGAGCTCGACCTCGTCGAGCGTCGTCTCGGGTTTCCCGCCCAGGCAGTCGTTGAGGTCGCAGCCGACGATTGGGGTGCAGCGGGCGTCGCGGAGCAGCGGGCGCCCACGGACTCCGCGACGCCCTGAGCCCATGCAGTGATGGCCTGAGTGGTCCTGCGGTGCGCGGCGACGGAGGATCCTTCTTGAGGCTGGCAAGGGAAATGCAGGGTCACAAAGAAAACGTGCAAAGCCGCAGTCTTCCATCTGATCGCTCCAATTCGGCCCGCGATGGCATGTGTAGGATGGCAAATGCGCCTGCGACTCCGCTGCGGGAAAAATGTTTTGCAACATGGTCGATACTCCCCATTACTTGTGATTAGCACGAGTCCAACCGAATGAAGTCTCCCTGTGTATCTCGTGTCGGTAAACTTGATGTTCGTCCTCACCTTTTTTTCTGCATGTGCCAGGGGGTCGCAAGGCGCGAATATTGTGAAACTCCCGGGAAATATCCGTGCCACGCATGGGCCCGACCAGGTGCATAGGATTGTATGTGCACGCTCTGATACTTGTGTACGGGGGGGGGCGGTGGGCCGGTAAAGTCGTCATGGCCCAAGCGGCGATCACGAGCACCTCCTGGAGCGGTCCACGGCGAGACGCCGACCGACCCAGGGCCACCCGCCACCCGATCAAAGGCTCAGCAGACCCAGCGAGTGGTCCATGAGCCTCTGACGCGGAATCTCTTTCCTCTGAAGTGCGATGAGCTGCGGGAAAGGTGGTGTTTGGGCCGCTGCGGCGGCCGGAGAAGAGGAGGAGAAAGAGGAGGAGGCGGAGGAGGACGAGGACAAGGACGGGTGAGGAGAAGGAGGAGGAACAGGAGGAAACGAATACCCCCCATCACACAGGACCCGCGGCCTCCTCCAGAGTCAGGCTGTCCGGCGAGTCTGCACCGAAGAGCCGCTGGATGTCCACCGAGGGCAGCTCGAGGCGACGGGTGGCGCGACAGAACTGGAGGAAGGTGCAGTCGAAGGAGCCATCCGGGTCGAGCTCCTGCGCTTTTCTCCCCCCTGCGGGCTGGGCCCCGTCGGGCCCGAGCGGGGAAGAACGGCGCCACGCGCGGGCACATGCAGAGATGGGCACCGTAGATTTGAGCGCGATGCTCGTTGCACTCTCGCCGCACTTCGGATGCTGGCCCTTCGGATAATCGCCTCCTCTTGTGCCGCGCCGCCTCAGCTGTCTTCCACCTAGGCGGTCGGGCTCCTCCGGCCGTCGCCGCGGCGCCACGGGGGAGGGCCGCGCGGGACGCCCGAGGGGCCCGCCTGCTGTGCCGCCCAGAGTCTCTGGGGCAGACTCCTCCTCCTCCTCCTCCTCCTCCTCCTCCTCCTCCTCCTCCTCCTCCTCCTCCTCCTCCTCCTCCTCCTCCTCCTCCTCCCGATGAGCTGGCCCTGTACAGAAAAGCTGCAGCCCCGTGCACGGGCGCGGGGTCGGCGAACGAAGGGGGCGGAGGGAAGGGGGGGTCCCGTCCAGCCCAGTCCGCTCCTGGAAAAGTCCGAGCGATCCGACGGCGCCGTCGCTCCAGGCTTTGGGGGCGTCGCTGTCGCGACAGCTGACGTTCCATATGAATCGACCCGCACCCTCCAAGCCCGCTCGAGCACCGCTCGCGCTGCCCCTCCCGGGCGATCCACCCTTCGAGTGCACAGCTGGAAGAAGGAGAAGGGGGTAGAGGAAGAGAAAGGGAGGGGTGGGGCGCCATGCGGGCTTATCTTCACGCCCACAGCGCTGACACCTCAACCTCCATGGGGGAAAGCCCCAGGTGAAGAAGGCACACACACACACACACAAACGCGACGAGCGAGGCCACACGATCATGTACAGAGTAACTATTTGGGTACCCGTCCGCCCTTGCTGAGGAAACGTGCGCCGAACTCGCTGTCGCTACCGTGCCAGTCTTTGCCTTCTGACCCTGCACCTCGCGCACGCCCTTCCGACCCCCAGCTGGGGAATACTGGGATGACAACCAATGAGCTTGAGATTTGGGATAGGGTGAGCCTCAAGGCCTCCAAGAAATTCCAAAGAAGCCCTGAGAAGGCTCCAACGAGGCCCCAAGGTGACCTCAGCATCACACCCGCCGCCAGCCAGAGAACCCCAGGGACTCCCAAGAAGGCCGCGGAAGGCACCACCGGCCCCCAAAAGGGCATCAGAGACGCAAGAACTGTAGAAGCAACTTAGGGAATTGTCTCCGGCGGTCCACAAGTGTTTTCCACAATGGGTGCGGGAACAAACCACCCATTAGCTTGGCCAAACTTTACACCAATGTTTGGCCACGTTGGCGTTTCCTACCTTCGATCCGCCGCCTCCCCCACAGGGCGGTGTGGCATTCCATCATCATCATCAGAATCATCACCATCATCATCATCATCATCATCATCATCATCATCATCATCATCATCATCATCAGCAGCAGCAGCAGCAGCAGCAGCGGCATCGTCATCATCAGCATCATCAGCATCCTCATCCTCATCCTCATCCTCATCCTCATCCTCCTCATCATCATCATCATCATCATCACCACCACCACCACCACCACCACCACCATCACCATCATCATCATCATCATCCTCATCATCATCATCATCATCATCATCATCATCATCATCATCATCATCATCATCATCATCATCATCATCATCATCATCATCTTCATTATCATCGTCATGACCATCATCGTCATCATCAGCATCAGCAGTCTCATTATCATCATTAGCAGCAGCAACACCACCATCATCATCATCATCATCATCATCATCATCATCATCGTCATAAGCATCATCGTCATCATCATCGTCATAATCATCCTCATCATCCTCATTATCATCCTCGGCATCATCATCAGCAGCAGCAGCGGCATCGTCATCATCAGCAGCATCATCATCGTCGTCATCGTCATCATCATCATCACCATCATCATCATCATCAGAATCATTGTCGTCATCATCAGCATTGTCGTCATAACTATCTTCACCATCATCATCAACATCATCAGCATCATCATCAGCATCATCGTCATCTTCATCCGCGTCGTCATCATCATCATCAGCATCATCATCGTCATCAGCATCAGTAGCATCATCGCCCTCATCCTCATGATTATCATCATCAGCATCATCAGCAGCATCATCACCACCACCACCATTACCATCATCGTCATCATCAGCAGCATTATCATGCGTTCTGGCTTGGCTATGCAAAACCTCTCCACAAGACCTTCACCCTCTGCCGCCACCTTCCCAACAGCGCACCGTCGATGCCCACAATGGGTCAAAGACAGTGGGCTGTTCAACTAGGTTCGCAGCGCCGAAGAAGGCTCTAACACAAAGGGCCCCATCGAGGCTCTCAAGGGGGCCAACACAGAACAAAAAGCCGCCTATGTGGCCTAAGAGGCCCCCGAGATGGCCTAGGACGCTCTCAAGAGGTCTCCTCAATCTGCCCCCCGCAATCTCTGAGACAACCCCAAGATGGCGCCGGTGGTCCATGGTGACCCCCAACTTGGCCTGAGAGACCAAGACGCGAAGGAAACCGCTCCCCAGCCCAGAAGGTCCACGAACGTTTCCACAGCAGCTGGGGGAACACACGAGCCCGCCGCTTGGCCAGACTTCGGCCGGACCTCTGGCGACAGAGGCACTGCCGAGAAGGTGCTGGGCGGCGGCGCCTTGCCACAGGCGCCCCCGGACCGCCTCGCCCGCGGACCGCCTCGCCCGGGCCGCCTCGCCCCAGACCGCCCGGACCGCTCCGCCGAGGACCGCCTCCTCGCGGCCCGCTTCGCCCGCAGACCGCTTCGCTCGCAGCCCGCTGCGCCCCGAGGATCGGCCCGCGCCGGACGCCTCCGCCCTGCGCCCCGAGGGCCGCGTCGCCCAGGTGAGGCGCTTCGCCCCTGGACTGCGCCGCCCCTGGACCGCTCTCTCCCCGATCGGCTCGCCCCCAGCGCGCTGCGCCCCCAGACCGCTCCGCCCGCAGATCGCTCCGCCCCCGATCGCTTCGCCCCCCGACCGCTCCGCGGGGTGGGTCCGTCTCGCCCACCACCGTTGCGCTCCCGCCCGTTTCGTCACCCTCCCGCTCCGTTGCCCGTCCGCCTCGCCGTCCGGCCGTCTCGCCCCCAAGACCGTTCGCCCCGTTCCGACTCGCCCCCCGTCCTTTCCGCCCCAGTCCGCGTCGCCGCGCTCCGCTCGGGCTCGCTCGCCCACTCGCGCGCGGGAGACCGCCTGGCAGCCCGCCCACCCGTGTCCTCCTCGCACCCGCCGGCCCGCCCGTGGTGTCCGCCTGCCCGCCCCCCGCCCCTCCGGATCCGCTCGACCGCTCGATCCGCCCGACCGACAGGCAGGGCCCGCCGCCCGCCCGTCAGGGTCCACGGGCCACGCCAGCTCGGGGAGGAGGAGGAGGAGACACAGCGAGGACGGGGAGCCGCGCTGGCGAGGACGAGGACGACGACGAGGACGAGGACGACGAGCAAGAGCGGGACGGGGCGGGGGGCGAGGCGGCCCGCTGGCCGAGCGGTCCGCCGGCGAAGCGGCCCGCCAGCGGAGCGGCTCGCCAGCGAAGCGGTCCGCTGGAGAGGCGGTGTCCGGCAAGGCGGTCCGCCGGCGAGGCGGCTCGCCGGCGAGGCGAGGCGCAGGGCGAAGCGCCTCGGGCGAAGCGGTCCGCCGGCGAGGCGGTCTCGCGCCCTCGGGTGCGCCCGCCGTGCTTCTGGCTCGCCACGGGACGGCTCGGCGTGCCACGACCAAGGACGACGACGAGCGACAAGCGACGACGACGACGACGAGCGACGAGCGGCGGCGGCGGCGGCGGCGGCGGCGACGACGACGACGACGGCGGCGGCGACGACGACGACGACGACGACGACGCGAAGACGTCCTGCCTTGCCTGGGCCTCCCAGCAGAAACTCTCAACGGGTCTGTCGCCCTCTGCCGCCTGGCCTGGGGACCTGCCGGGCCCACTGCCCAAAGTCAGGAGGAGGAGAACTGGCTCGCCGGTTCGTCCAAGCGTCAACGGGACCCGGGAATAGTCGAGACACACACTACCGAGGTGTGTCAAGAGGCCCTCAGGAGGTGCCAGAGACCCAAGAGGAACCCAAGGCTCCAAAGAGCACCAGGGAGAGGCCCGATGGATACCCAGGAGGCCTCCAAGAGGCCTCCAAAGAGCTCCAAGAGTTCCCGAAGAGGGCCCGAAGAGGCGACCACGATGGCCTCAGGCGTCCCCAAAGGGGCCCCCAAACATCCCAACACATTCAATTACCCCCGATGCCGCTAACACAACCACAGGGACACCCAAAATGGCAGCGGTGAACCCCAAAAAGTTCCATGCGAAAATGACCTTCCAAACTCTCCCAGTGATTTCCACGGCAACTGGTGAGCACTTTGTCCAACAGTTTTGCCACAAACGTTGGCCCAACGTTTAGCCACAAGGGCGTTGCAAAAAGGCTGGGGCGACGGTGATTCGCCGACGACATCGTCAACTCAACGTAGAACGTTTCCCGGCGACACTTCTGGCGATCCTTGCGCCAGCCGCGCAGGATGCTGCCCTTGCCGCATTGGCGCAGCGCGTACTGGATGGCCCTCTGGTCCTCCTGAAGGGAGCTTGCATCGAGTCAGCCCGAATTGTTGGGATACCTCCTGGGCCACATGTGACCGCACTCTCGGCCACCGCTTTGCAAATATAGGTCCGCCGCGCCCCCTTTCAGGAGTGGATCTCTGGTCCCCGGGGATTGCACGCGGATTTCCCAGGGAGTCACCGACAGGTCGACGACCAGAGCGGGAGACGAGGACAGTGGCGAGAGAGGTCTGCGGGGCCCGCGGGGTCGGCTCAGCAAAACCATGAGGAGGAGAAGCAGCAGCAGCAGCAGCCCCAGCAGCAGAAGCAGCAGAGGGGAGGACGGAGAAGGGCCCCATGGGGACGTCTCGAGGGAACGACGTCCTTCAGAGTGCGCGGTAGACGAGCCCCTCTGAGTAAGTGCATTCTCCACGCGGGACTCGCGAGACGGGTCGAGTCCAGGAAGAGGAGAAGGACCTCAGTCCGTGTCGTGGCCTGGTGTCGAGAAGACCACAGCGCACCGCAACCCTTCGTCTGGTATTGTTGCTGCATCCTGCTGTCCTGCCCCTAGTCTGTCTTACGCGATTGTGCGGTGTAGCGCGCGCAGGCCCATGCAGGCCTGGGCACCTCGGGTCTGCGGGGTTACTACTACGGTTTCCAGGATATTCACTAACGCTTCGAAGCCACGTGCGAAATCCAACGCCTCGAGAACGAGCGCTGGGAAGCACTGCCACGAAAGGGCGGTTCGTCGCCCGTACTCCTCCTCCTCCTCCTCCTCCTCCTCCTCCTCCTCCTCCTCCTCCTCCTCCTCCTCCTCCTCCTCCTCCTCCTCCTCCTCCTCCTCCTCCTCCTCCTCCTCCTCCTCCTCCTCCTCCTCCTCCTCTCCTCCTCCTCCTCCTCCTCCCCTCCTCCCTCATCCTCCTCCTCCTCCCCCTCCTCCTCCTCTCCTCCTCCTCCTCCTCCTCTCCTCCTCCTCCTCCTCCTCCTCCTCCTCCTCCTCCCCTCCTCCCCCCCCCTCTCCTCCTCCTCCTCCTCCTCCTCCTCCTCCTCCTCCTCCTCCTCCTCCTCCTCCGCTCCTCCTCCTCCTACCCCTCCTCCTCCTCCTCCTCCTCCTCCTCCTCACTCCCCCCTCCTACTCCTCCCTCCTCCCTCCTCCCTCCTCTCCTCCTCCCTCCTCCCTCCTCCTCCTCCCTCCTCCCCCTCCTCCCCCCTCCCCCCTCTCCTCCTCCCTCCCCCTCCTCCTCTCCTCCTCCTCCGCCTCCCTCCTCCTCCCTCCTCCTCCTCCTCCCTCCTCCCTCCTCCTCCTCCCTCCTCCCTCTCCTCCTCCTCCTCCTCCTCCTCCTCCTCTTCCTCCTCCTCCTCCTCCTCCTCTCCTCATCCATCATCATCAATCATCATCATCATCATCATCATCATCATCATCATCATCATCATCATCATCATCATCATCATCATCATCATCATCATCATCATCATCATCATCATCATCATCATCATCATCATCATCATCATTATCATCAGCATCCTCCTCCTCGAAGAAGAAAGCGAAGAAACCTGCGATTGTGCGTTTTCATGCAACTCGAATGCGCCACACTCCCCTCCCACCTCGCCCTGATCCTCTTGAATCTCTACCTTTCCCCTCCTCCTCCTCCGCCTCCTTCTCTTCCTCCTCCCCTGCCGCCGCTTGATTTTGTGCGAAGCCGAATAATCAGAACGACGAAAACGTCGTCGACGACGGGCGGCAAGGAGGATTGGAGATAGTCCGCCGCAGTTTCCTTGTCCCCCTACCCTGAGACACAAAAGGAAACTGTGGGGAAATCCGCAAGCGTTCTTCACTTGAACGAACCAACAAACTTATCCGTACACGCGCGTGCCCACAAACCTGTAAACATGTAAATTTTCAAGCTTTTCAAACTTGCAAACTTGTCACACTTGTCAAACTTGTCAAACTTTCAAACTTTCAAACTTTCAAACCTTTGAGAAGGGCACGATTTTGACATGTGAACCAATATTCAAACTCTGAAAGTTTGAAAGCTTGAAAATTTGAAAGAAGCGCAAAGTTTGAAAGTTTGAAATATATGCATTTCTAATTGTCAAATTTTCAAACTTCGAACTTTCAAATTTTAGCCCCCTGAAAACACAAACTTTCAAACTTTGAAACAAACTTTCAGACCTTCAAACTTTTCAAAGCCCTCAGGAGCATCCACAAAGTGCCGCGAAGGAAGGCTGCTCAGTTCGCGGCCCCGGGGGAGGCGAGGCCCCTTTGACACGTCGCTCCGCTGGACTTCCCGGGGGCGCACGGAGGCGGCGAAGGCTGCACACCTGGGGAGCAGCTGCCAGCGCCCGGGCGACAGGACGTGAGAGAGGGATGTACCAGATACCAGGAGAAAGCAGACGGCTGGATTTGTTTGTCAGCGCTAGTTTGGAGAGGAGGGAGGAGGAGGCGAAAGGGAGACAACGCACACAGCTGATCATTGTCCGACTCGTGCCGGGGAGTCGGCAAAAAGCAGACGGCGGGAATGGAAGAGGAGAGAAAGGGGAGAGGAAGGGAGGAGGCGGGAGGAGACGGGAAGGGAACGGGAGGTGCAGGAGGCACCAGGATGCGAGGTTGGAGGCAGGAGGGGAGGATCCGGGAGGAGGAGGATGGAGCGGCCGTGCTCTCTTCAAAACGCAGACCCGACGCAGGATGGTGGTGGAATGACGAAGACGCGTGCCGAAAACAGCTGCAAGCGCCCACCAGCCCTCTAGGCGAAGGTTGTTCAATGAGTTCGTTCTGCTAACCCCCGTCGTCTTCCCCTTCGTGGGGGGCGGTGCCCCTGCTCCCCGACCCCCACCGCAGAGATCTGGAGGGGAGCGCCGCGGGCCACTGGAGCGTCCACCATGGTACAAGGTGGCACCGAGATGGCCCCAGATAGACCAAGATGACCTCGAAGATCGCACAACGTAGCCCAAGAAGGCTCAGGATAGCTTCCAAGAGGCTCCAAGACCGCCCCGAGGCGGTTCCCAGCGGCCGCCACGGAGCCTCCCAAGGACGCCCCCGAGAGGCCAACGTCCGACCAAAGCGTAAGGAACATGATTGCGTCCGCATTCTCACCTTCTCGCTTCCGATCGGCTTCGGGGACCTCACGATTGCTCCAACATCGCCGAAGAGGCACCCTACGGCCACGGAGCGCCCCAAGAGCGCCACAACAGAGCTCCAAGAGGCGACTTTTCGGCCTCTGACGGGGGAGGCGTAATTGAGAACCCCTACTTCTTTCATCGATGGCCTCCGAGATGGCCCAAAGAGCGCCCCCGATACCCCCAAGAGGACCCCAAGAGGGCCCCAAGATGGCGCCAAGAGGGCCTTAATATCTGTTCATCCAGGCGTGGGGGCGAACATTTTAGAATCTCCTCCTCCTCCTTCTCCTCCTCCTCCTCCGCGATTGACAGTGGATACAAAATTGGGCTACAGGAACAATGATACTCAGAGGCATGGGCGCAAACTCTGGGCGTGGAGGTGGGAGAAGACGATATACGTGCTATACCGAAACAAGCCGTGGCAAGAAGCCGCCCAGGACAAAAAGTCTTGGGGATCCTACCTTGACTCCATGGCGAAGGGAGAATTATCTGCACAACAGTGACATCTTCGAGTTCGCGCGCAAGCGAGCTGCAAGTAGCCTCGCGGCGCGGCCCTAGCCGGCACCTGCCAACCGCAACCGCAACCTCCTGCTCCCACCCATCCGCCACCCCTACTCCCCCCCACACCCCTCCCCCACCCTCCTGCCCCGCCCGCACCCGCCCCCCCGCCGTCGCTCGGACGCCCATTCCCCGTGCATTTTTGGGGTTCGCGTGTGTTTTTGTTGGCCCGATGGTCGAGGATGCTCCTCGAAGGTGCTCGCCGAGAAAAAAAATACACGTCCAAGCGCCCCGCGACGCCGGCCCGCCGCCCTGAGGGCGGCCGCGCCGCCTCTCCTTCAGGCCCGCGTCCTCGGAGCCGGGGGGGCCCATCGCGCGCCCGCCGGCGGAGGGGCGCGCGCGGCCGGGTCGCCCGGGGGCGCCTCCATGGCCGCGCCCGCGCCCGCGCCTCGCGAGCCGTCGCCGGCGGGCTCCCTGGGGCGGGGCCGCGCTGGTCGCGGCTTCCGTGTGGGGGCTGAGCGTGCCGTGCTCTGCGCGTGCGCCGTGCGGGTCGTGCCGGCTTCTCGGCCCTCCTTCTCCTCCTCCTCCTCCTCCTCCTCCTCCTCCTCCTCCTCCTCCTCCTCCTCCTCCGCCTCCGCCTTCTTGGGTCGCTGCTGCACCCCCTGCGCCTGTCCGCGCGCCAGCCGTCTTCCTGCTGTGGCTGTTCCTCCTCCTCCTCCTCCTCCTCCTCCTCCTCCTCCTCCTCCTCCTCCTCCTCCTCCAGCTCCTTCTGCCCCTCCTCCTCACTCGGGCTCCTTCGTCCTCGTCCTGATGTTCGTCCTCCTCCATCCACATGGCAAGCGAGAAGGACGAACGGGAGAGGCTCGAATGACAGATCGAGGTATCTGAGGAGGGTGAGGAGGAGGAGGAAAAGAGGAGGAGGAAGACGAGAAAAACAAACGGAGGGGAATAGGAAGGAGAGACCAGGGAGGAGAAGACATAAGGAGAGAGGAAAGAGGAGGGATTCAAGCTAGGTGTTCCCTCCAACCCATCGCTTCCCATTGCGCTGATTGTGTCTCTATCCGCGGACGCGTATCATAGCGGACCTGGAACTCCCCCCCAAAAAAACAAATCATCGTGCTGTGCTTAATCGGACACGGGGAGCTGCGTACATAGAAGGAGGGGGAGAAGGAGAAGGTGGCGGATGAGCAGGAGAATGAGCAGGAGGAAAAGAGCGAGGATGGAAAGGAAAGGAGAAGAACCAGGACCAACAGCAACAGCAGGAACTGGAGTGGAAGGAGCGGGAGGAGCAAGGGGACCATGGGAAGGCAGAGGAGGGGAAAGGAGGGGGGCGACAACGATGAGGAAGGACTCGGATCCAGAAAAGTGGCCCACGCTGGAGCGAGAGCGCCGTTCTGAACGACAGAAGCAAAACGCCGATCCGAAAATGAGGGCCTGCTTAACAAACAATACGCGGACCGGGTAGAACATCTCCCGGACCGAACCAGGGAAAAGAAAGGAGAGTAGAACTCAGAATGTGTAACTGGACAGAGGAAGGAGAAGAGGAGGAGGGGGAGGAGGAGGAGGAGGAGGAGGAAGAGGAGGAGGAGGAGGAGGAGGACGAAAAGGATAAGAAGGAGGAAAAGGAGGAGGAGGAGGAGGGGGAAGACGAGGAAGAGAAGGAGGAAGAGGATGAGGAGGGGAAAGGAGAGGAGGAGGGGTGAGGAGGAGGAAGAGGAGGAGGAAGAGGAGGAGGAGGAGGAGGACGAGGAGGAAGACGAGGAAGAGGAGGAGGGGACGAGCATAGAAGAACGCCCTGTCTGCCACCTACCTGCTGTCACCCGCTGCGTCCCCAGCGCCGCGAGGCGGGGGAACAAAGATGGGGGCCGCAGGAGGAGGAGGAGGAGGAGGAGGAGAAGGAGGAGAAGGAAGAGATGGGAAGAGCAGGAGGAGGAGGTGGTGGTTTGGCTTGGGTAAGCGATCTGGTGAGGCCTCGGGCACTGCCTCTTTAGCGGCACCTCCCACTCAGGGATGGCTGGGGGACAGCTCACCACCTGTCGCGGGCGTCTAGTACCGCAACGCCACGGCGCAACTTGGTCCAAGAAACTCCCAGGGGGTACCACCCCTGGAGCACCCTCCCCCCCCACCTCGTCCCCAGGAAGGCCCAGCTGCACCAGCCCCCAAATACCTGAGGAGCGGGAAACCCCAGAACAGGAGGGCGTTACAGCTGGGGTCCCGACCCAGGACGAGGGGGACAGGGGGATCCATCCAGGGACGCCCTGGTGGCCTCCCGTGCCAGGCGGAACCACTGCCGCAGAGTGGGAATGGACAGTGCGAGAGCTCCCGCTCACCTCCGCTGGGACCTCGCCCGTCCTAGCATGTCGCGGATGCCACCGCAAGGCGCAACTGCGAAGCGATGAGAGATGACTGGAGGAGGCCCTTCCCGGGTGGGTGCCCCCCGCCACCACCCCTGCTCGGCATCGGACGCGGCCCAGCCTGCGGGGAGAGACAGGGGGGGGAGGAGGAGACGGGGATGCCCCTCGCTCACCCCGAAGACCGCAGGCCCCCTGGGGGGCCCCTCGCCAGGAAACGAGGCGAGGCCACCGAGACAGAACCGAGAGCCCCGGGAACCCCAAAGGGCGGAGGAGGAGGAGAGGAGGACAGAGCACAGAGCGGAGGCCACGCCCGACCCCCGGAGAAGCCCCCGGAACGCCCAAGCGGGAGTGCGTCTGCACACCGCAGGTGCGGACTCACTCCCGCCCAGGGTTGGGCACTTCTCCGGCAGCTGGGGGGCCATGCTGCGACTCCTCCTTATGGGAGCGGCGACCGCTTCTCAATCTCGACCTGCCCAGAACCGCCGCTGCTGCTGGTCCACGCCCGCCGCGAGTGCGACCGCCTCCGCGCAACCAGCCTCCCCTGGCCTGGCAGACAGCAGCGCGCGCGCACAAGCCTCCTGCGAGATCGGCTGCGGCTGAGCCCGCGCCGTCCAGAAGGCAGCCCGGCCACCAGCGGTACCCGGGCAGCCGCTGCACACATGGAACGACAGACTGCGCTGCCGCGCACCACACAGCACGCAGCTAAGCGCGGCAGCCCACGACCTGCGCCCGCCCACGTGCCCCAGGACGAAGAGGCCGGCCCTCCAGCGGCTGAAGGACCGCATGCCCTGCAGCACGTCCCAGCTGCATGCGCCCTGGAGAGCCGTCGCCAGATCCCGCACCGGGCCCTCGCACAGGGAAAGCAAGGCGACAGGACGGTCATGGACCCTCGCCCTGAGCTGCCACTCCCCCCTGCACTTGCGAGCAACCTGCTGCTGCACAGCCGCGACATACGCCTCGCGCTGCTCCCCCGGGTGAGCCTGGGACCAAAGCGGCCAATCCAGCACGCCTCAAGCCGCGATCAGCCTCTCGGACTGACTTGCCCAGGACAGTTCGCGGGTAGCGTGGGCCGCCAGGAAGACCTTTCGGTATAAGTCATCCTCCGGGAGGGCCCCAAGCCCTGCACGGCGGCGCGCCACATCGATCACGCCCGGGCCCGCGCCCGATAGGACCCAGCCCAGCACCGCCTCCGCCACCGTCGAAGCCCGCCAAGGGGGGGGCCCCAGGAGAGCCCGCGCCCAGCCGCGATACACTTCATCCGCGGCCTCCGCACTGCCTTCCGCAACGGCCCACAGCCAGCGCCCGAAGCGGAGGCCCCCTTCGATCTTCATGTCGAACATGCTCCCTGCCACTGCCAGGGGGACGTCGCCACTGGCCACTTGACCAGCAAGGGAGGCGACCTGGGCTGCCGCTGCTGCCAGGCGCGCACGGCACATAGCCCGCAAATCTAAATCCCCCCGCCACGGAAGGCCCAGCCACTTGTGCACTTGGACCACCCCCAGCTGCACAGGCTCTGCCCCCCGGAAGCGGAGCTCTAGCGGCCGCGCTGCCTGGGCGGCCTGCCGGGCCCCAAGTGCACCCGACACCAGCACTGCATGCTTGGAGGCCTTCGTGTGGGGGCTGGCCTTCTCTGCAAAGGCCCACCGGGCCATCACTTCCACCGCCGCCTGCGCCGAGCCGCGCGAGGAGCCCAGCAGGACGGGGTCGTCTGCGTGCAGGATGACAGCCAGCCGCGCTGGCGCCAGACGGTCCATGGCCAGGAGGGCGGACGCCTCGAGGTCCAGGTCCGCCTGGAGCGCCGCATCGGAGGGGAGGCCGCGCTCCTCTCGGATGGCCTTCTGCAGGGAGTCCGCCATGTCGTCCCTGGGGAGACCAGTGCACTGCCATTCCCTGCCCCGCCACTCCCTGGGCATCTGGAACCCCAGGCCCACCCCGAGCCCCGCATCTCCCAGCGCCCGCGGCAGGCCGTCCATGTAGCACGGGAAGAACATCGGCCCCACCGTGCCCCCCTCTGCAATGCCCTGCATGACGCAGACGATGGCAACCCCGTTGACGCTCACGTGCACCATGTCCTCCTCGAGGATGCTGCACAGGAGGGCGAAGCACCCGTCCCGGAGCCCGACATGCGTGGACACGCGGTGGAAGAGACCCTCCCTCCAGACCCGCGGGAACGCCTTCTGGAGGTCACCGGAGACGGCCCACAAAGACCTGCGTTGGTCCACCGCTTGCGACGCCAGTTCATGGAGCAGGAGCTGGGCGTCCCCAACGTCGCGGACATAGCCGCTTTGGCCGGGGAGAACCGAGGACTGCACCTTGGGCTTTGCCCGCTGGCTCAGAACGGTTTCCTGGAGCAGGCCGAACTGCGTCTTGACCATGATCAGCCGGAAGCTCCCCCCTAGCTCCGGGGGGCCTGCCTTGTGAAGGGGGACTGCGCAGAGGCTCCGCCACCCCCGCGGCCGCGTGGCCAGGAAGCTGGGGCCCGTGACAAGCATGATGAAACAGACCACCGTGTCGAGAGGGGCGCACGATAGCTGGAGGATGAGGCGGGGAACCAGGTCTGACGTGGTCGCGTCTGTGGTGGACCACCCCGCCAGGACGCCCCGGACCTCGTTTTGGACTATGGGCCCGTCAAGTTCTCCACGCCCGCGACGCGCCCAGGCCCTCCCTGCCTGAGACCGCACCAAGCCCTGGACCATGTCGTGCCTCTGCGCGTCCCACTCGCCTGGCCACCGCGACTGATCCCGGAGCTGCGCGCACCATGCTGCCAGCCTACCCTGAGACACGGTGCTGGCTGGATCGCAGCAGGCTCCAAGACCCGGAGGCAGCGGGCAACCTTGTCCGCAGGCGCGCCCCCCTCTTCCAGAGCCGCCCAGATCTGGTTGCCCAGCGGCCGCGGCGACCCCTTGCCCCCTGCGAGCTTCCTCCGGTAGCGAGAGCCTGCATCTGCCGGGACCACCCACCCCGACATGGCAAGAGCCAGGATGATGCGGAGCAGCCACGCAAAGGCATCACAGAGCCACTGCGCCGCCGCCCGATTCAGCCTGGCCCCGTACACCCCTCGACCTTGCCCCGTGCAAACCGACCGTAGGAGGCCCTCCAGACTCGGGAACGCCCCCGCCGACGCCGCCAACCCTGATGCCCAGGCGGGCCCGTCCAGCCACCAGGCGGAAGAGAAGGCGGAGGGCGACGACGATCCTCCTCCTCCTCCTCCTCCTCCTACTCCTCCTCCTCCTCCTCCTCCTCCTCCTCCTCCTCCTCCTCCTCCTCCTCCTCCTCCTACATCTTTTCTGCTACCGCTCGTCCCCCCTTTCAATCAACCTTCCTCCTTCTCCTCGACGTTCTCGAGACGGTTCCTTGACAGACCGCAGGGAACAGTGATGTGAGGGAGCGCGTCCCCCAGCGCGTCGCGGTTTGCCTCGAAAGTGCGCACGACAACCGCACGCAAGCAAGAGGAGACGAACTTTTTCGCACGCGCTTGAATCGCCACGGGCTGGTTGGCTCGGAGCACCTCTGCCACAATGCCGCACAGCTCTCCGGAGCGCGGCTTGCAACCAGCACCGCGTGTTTCGGGGCCCCCTCCCCTATGCCGTCTCGCTCCTGGTGTCATCAATCGTTCCTCCTCTGCTCATCCTCCTCATCCTCATTTTGCCATCCTTCCCCGCCCCTCCTAATGATGTGATTCCCTTTTTTTCCGGGTGCTCCTCCCCCCACTATCATCATCACAATCACCATGACCATCTCCACCACCATCCACCATACATCGTCGTGATCGTCGTCATCGCCACCATCATCACCATGAACATCGTCAACATCGACAAAACCGTCATCGTGGTCACCAAAAGCCCATGTCAAGCATCATCACCATCAACTCCGCCATCATTTCACGATCGCCATCACCACAAGCCTCATCCTCATCGTTGTCGTCATCGCCATCTGCATCGTCATCGTCATCATCATGACCATCAGTGTCAGCATTACCTTGACCATCGTCAGCCCATATCGTTATGAGATTCCTCCTCATCCTCCGTTGAAAATAGAAGCATCACCATCATCGTCATCATCTTCATCATCAGCAGCAGCATCATCACCGTCGTCGTCGTCGTGGGCATCGTCATCATCGTCGTCGTTATCATCATCACCACTATCATCCTCACAACCATGATCATCATAAACACAGCACCTGCACGATGGACGCGCGCACACCTACGGGACGTGGGGCTGTCTGCGGAACCACCGGAACCGCGCTCACCAGATGCGCACTCCAGCCGCCCACAGAACTGTTTTCGGCACCCGCGCCCGCTTTTGCCCGCTGGCAGTCGGCGCCCAGCTCCAAGCACCCACTGTCGCGGTGAGAATCCTGCTCCTGTCACGAACTTGCTGAACGCATTCGCTATGCCTCGTGCTGCTGCCGCAACCGCTTCCTCTCTTCGAACTTCACCAGCGTCGACGACACTCGTCGCCATGTCCTTCAGGCAGCACAATTTGTCGCTCAAACTTGCCCATCTACCAGCGGGCCCCAGGAGCCGCGCAGTTGAACACGAATCCCAGGCCGTCTCATAACGCTTCAAACTCGCCCACGAAGGTCGGGTCCTGATCCTGCTTAACAGCCCCTGGTGGCCCAGCCCAGGTAAGCCATCCGAACTCGAGGTATCTTCGCAAGATCTGCCATCGGTCTCGACCCTGGAAAGGTGTGCATCGCAATTGTAAGACCCGACGCAGCGTCCACGATCACGAGGCCGACATGCATGTTCTTGTCCAGGTCCAGGATGATTACGAAGTCCATGCCGATGGCCTGACTGAACTTCTAAACCTTGGGCCGCGCTGCCGCGGGTTTTCTGCCGCCCTCGCCCGTTCCTCGCACGCAGAACATCTGAATAGTTGCGCCGCTTGAATAGCTAGTCGGCCAGCGCCCCCACGTTGTAGATTGCGCACCAACGACCCCCTGCAAGATCGATGTGAACGGCTCATGTAGATCTTAATGAATAGCTGCTCGCGTCACTGGCGGCATTGCCACCCAATCCGCCCCCTCGATGCTCTCGCCGCGCTTGCTGAAGACAGCCGACGCACTAGCGTGCATCGGTGCCTCCCTTTTCGCAGGGGGCGCCTCAATCTCCTCGAGATTGTCGGCGTACCTGGCCTCTCCACCACGTCGCTTCTCGAGGCCCCCCTGGTCCTCGACGCCGCCCGCGAATGTCTCGGCCACCTCGGCTGCCCAATTGCCAAGGCTCGACGCTGCCCTTTCCGGCCCGTTGATCACGCTCGCACACAGACGCGCGCAGCCCACAGCACCTCGCCCAGCTGCTTGCCCAGCATGATCGCCGCAATAAGGAACCAGGTCGGCTTCTCCAACGGGTCGCCAATGGGGGCCACCGGGCGGCTGCCCTCTTCGCACCGGCCCGTAATTGCAGTCGCGAAATTTGCTCCCAGCCACGACATCAGCCCCCACGCCTTGACGTCAGTTGGCCCTCAAATAACAGATGTGCTCCTCGACGTTTTCAGTCGGGCCGGACCCCCTGGCCTTGGTCTAGTTTGGGAACACGCGGGATGCGTCCGTGAACGGGTCGCCGAGGAGCCAAGCCACCATCACTGAGTCACATAGAGTCCTCCGCATCCGGCTGCTTCGCGACCTCGGCCTGATCCCTGATGTCCAGCGCACCGTCTCCAATATGGATGTTCCGCGGCCTCGACACCATGACCTCATCCCTGAGCCTCCGACGCGGTCGCCGTCCATCCAGCGTAGAACTTGCCGATGACAGGCCCCCTCTCCTCGGGGTCTGCCCCAGGGCTGTCGACGGCTCGCTGGCACTGGTCCAGCTTGCGCTTGATCTCATCCTCCCGCATCACGATCTGCGCACTCTAATTTTGCCGCAGGATGCCTGCGTTGTCCTCCTGAACATCTGCGCTCCAAATGCCGATCTCCTCTGTAATCACAGTTGGCGCCACCCTCTTGATCTCCTGCCTCGGCCACTCCTGGAGCGACACCACTACATGGCCCCTCTCAATCCTGTCGAGCAGCACCCCGTGACTTTCGATCGTTCTGAAGGTCGCCTTCCGCTCCACGATGTAGAGCACCGCGTCGAGCGCCTCCATCTGACGCATGTTGACCAGCACTGGCATCTTGGACTTCGGGGCCCTCTGGAAGCGATGGTTCGCGTCGGCGCCTGCGGTTCAAGCTGATATTTCTTGCTCGCCTCCTGAAACGACTGGAGCGCTGTCGCTATCGCCCCAGGACCGCATCGCCGCGGTCACCCGGCAATCCCCCGCGCACATGTCCAGGGGGGTGGAGCTACCGTGGCCTCGCAGGCAGGCTGCACCCGGCGCTGCTGGAATAAGTGATTTCCGCATCGCGAAGATCTGCATTCGCGCCCTCCTGCATGCTACTGCCCCGTGGCCGCCTTGACTCGGGCTCAGCGCCCCCGGGCATCTTGCCCGGGCCTGTCTCCGTGAACATTCCCGCTTTCCACGGCCACGTCAGTCGCAGCGACGCCGGCAGACGTTCGCACGTCGACCGCGCGACTTTCCATAGCTCCTCCGTCTTGCCCCACGTTTCCAATGAGATGTCGCTGGCGAGGCCCAGTAAACCCGTCGGCGCAAGCTTCATTGCGACGCAGGCTAGCTGCTGCATCCGACGCAATGCTAAATCTGCGCACCGCTCCGCGTAGTCTCTGATGGATGCCGCCTGATCTCCTCGTGTTATCCACGCCCCTGGCACACGGCCCGCGCGCTCCCTAACGTTCTGAATGGCCCTCACCGACTCGCCGACAAACTCGCCATCGATGTAAGCATATCTGCTCGGATCTGTGTCTTTTCCAGATGCACGCGGCGCCGGATGTCGCTTGTCATATGGATTCATCGCCACATTTAGATCCCATGGTTTGGCCGCCCCCACGTTCTGCTCGACGCTGAGCTGCGCCAGGCTGTCGACGCATTTCACGGTAGCGCCTGGCGCCGCCAGCTGTGCGTTCACCATCTGGAGCGCCCTCATGCCCATGGAGTTGCCGCCCATGAAAAGCTTGAGCGCCGCGGCCAATGCGCGGCAGCCTGCTCGTCGAAGAAAGCCCCCACGTCGCCCTTGAAAGCCTCCATGTCCACCGCCCCCGCGTCGCTGGATACTCGGTGAGCCTCCACTTCGCGTCTTGTCGCATTCTGGGGGGTCGCCCTTCTAGCGCCCCTCCTTGCGGCGCGCATTGCATTTCGCGCGGGTCATAATCTCCCCGAGCTCCCCTTGGGCCTCCGCGCTGTCCATCTTGATGGAACCGCCCCCGACGATATCGGACTTCCAGCCTCGTTTCGTCCTGCTGCGAGCGAGCCGCCCCTGAGCCTATTTGCGGTTCATCTGACATTTGCGCCCTGCCTTCCTGTCTAGATCCTGCGCCTCTGTCGCCAAGGTCCACACTCCTCCTGGCTAGTCTCCTCCAAGTCGACGTCGCCGATCGCTTCCTCGAACTCGTCAACGTCGGCTGCCAGAGCATCGTAGTCTGCGTCGCTAGGTCTATCACTGCCTTAGTGTCCAAGCCCCTACCTCGTCGTCGCCGTTGCAGGCGCCATGCACGATGCCACGATCTCTGAGGTCATCGCGGCCAATATTGTCCAGCTGAGAAAGCAGTGTCACCGTCACTTCGTCCCAATAATATCCGTTGTTACACTGTCGAAGAATCGTCCTGTGCTCCCCCCCGCATGCTGACGCTGGTTAACTTCAACAGAAAATATGCGCGCGTACCCTCGCAAATTGACGCGACAACGACGTCAACCCCTTGCACTCCGTCTCGCGTCTTGAAATATAACCCTGACCTGGTTCCGATATGCCTCGGTAGCTCTTGAAGAAAAACTCGTCGAAGGCTTGCTGCGTTGGTAATGGCGCAATCCTTTCCCATGCTGCACCACCCGTCGCCACCACCAACCTGGTTGCAGCAAGATGGTCACCACCTGTTTGAGATTTGGTCAGCTCCTCCGTCATGATATCCGGCTTCTTCCGTTGGAGATTCTGCGTTCAGCCGCTGAGTGAGTCGCTGAGCTTGCTCGCGTAAAGCTTCTGGTTCTTCTCTTCACTCGCATAATAGTATCGCATCCCCCTTTCCTCATTCTCTTCCCCGTACGCCAGGTTTGCGATGTAGTGAACAACTCCTTCGTTGTCGACATAGAGGGGTTCGTTAATGGTCCGCTGCTTCGCCGCCGCCGTTTAGTTTTCGTAGATCTCGACGCCTGTGACGTCGGTCGTTGCTGCTGGGCTGCCGGTGATATGAAGACCAGCATTGCGATGGAGCACGCAGCTGACTTTCACGAGCACACATATGAAATAGAGCACCAGCATGAGTTGCATGCATATTCTATCTATAAATAGACGCACCCGCAGAACTTAGCTCCAGGCAACCAGTGTAAATCATAATCCACTCAACTGGTGCAAGTGAAACAGATGTTTCTCACCCAACTCGACTATGGTGTGAAGAAGTGCGTCCGCCCTCGCCACCCACTGAGCCAGAATGCCAGCGGTGAGAGGTAACGAAATCACGAGCGAGAGAGAGCAGCTCCAGGGATATCCTTGCCATTTCCCCTTGCAGCTACATGATGCAAGATCTAATTA